CGAACTATTATTATCTGTTCTACCAACCATCAACTAACAGCTATAGCTATCAACTATTGTTAACAATCAAACCAAACAAAGCCTACATGAGATTATTAGTCCCATTATTCACAAAAAAATTTTTTTTGATAAGTAATGAAATTCATTGATGGTGAAGGAAAAATTAAGTTACATCAATATAATCCCTACAAAGTTAAACCTATAACATTAATAACAAATGATTTTGCCCATAACATGTATTAATAATTAACTATATAGAGTCATCAATTATTAAAAATTACCTAGAATATACAATCTAAAACAATCACTTTAGAAGAACAACTAGATATGAGATGACCACTATATTGTATGTCTAAAACATCTAAAATGTCCAATTTAATACTAAATAAGCTTTTGAGGCTGAAAGATTAGCTAACAACCCCATTACAACCATGTCTTTGACAACCAATGTAAGTATTTCATTTAGTCAAGTCCACCTACTCACATCCACTATGCATTCCATCTCTACCAAGGGCAAAACTTAATGAAAATCATTGCAGGAGCCTAAACAAGAAACTCTCAAAATGAAGGTGACAAACCTCATAAGGACAAAACTAGTCTCAAAGGAAAAGGAAAGAACCTTTCACTCTTATTCATCCACCCTAACTGTTAAGGGAGGCAAGGTGGCCTACAATTGGGAAAGAGGAAAGAAAAAGTGAGGTTTAGAGGTGGGACATGATTCCAAATTGCAAGTTTGACATCAATTATTATTTGTTACAATTTATATTCAAAAATTATAAATTTAATCTATTAATTACAATATTTATTCAAATAAAAAAATCTACTTATTACAACAATCCTTTTTTGTTAATTAGTTAGAACTTTGAATTTATATATAATTTTAAGGATTAACTTGTAGCAATCAATTAGCTAATAAATGTTTAAAAGTTAATTTATATTATTTAATAGTTTGAAAGTAGCATATAAATTAATATTTTCAAGCACTTTAAATTAGGCTAATAAAATCAATCATTAATATTTTAAAGAAAAAATTCTAGAGGCTAATAAAATTAGTCAAACCAAACACACAATTAAATTAGGTTCTACATGTTCTTCTCTCTTCTCTTTTCCATAGATTTCTTTCCTTCCTCTATTTTTTTCTCCTTGTATCTCTCTCTGTTTCTTTCTTATCTCCTTCCCTTCTTTCTCATCTCCTTGACATATCACTTCACCTTCAATGCAAAATATCTACTTGTAATGACCCAAGTAAGATGTTAACCATTGTTTTAAGCTCTATCCATGAGCAACATGTTGTTTCAATTACAAACTGTTTTCCCCTTACACCAATTGATGGAATCGATTTAATTGTACCTTTTTTATTGGCATCCTGTAACGACCCATTAACTGTTATGGATATTTTTCGTTTTGACCTATTATGCCTCATAGCTTTCAAAACGTGTCCACTTTGGTTGGGAGTGTTAGCCCTTATAAGTCACTCAAAGAGTTCATTTCTCATAAATATGGGACTCTTGGTTTAGAAAGGTTATTAAATTCTCCCTCACTAATGGTGCTTGATGTCCCCAACAAGCCCATTCATTCCTAAATTGGCTCACCTCATTTCTTTACTTTGTTGATGTGAGATTTGCCTAAACTCAGCCTATATCGAGGTTTGCCCCACCATCGTTCAAGAAGATGCATAAAGCTGCTTTGATACCATTTGTAACGACCCACAAACTGCCCTAAATATTGTCTGCTTGAACTTATTAGGCCTTATGATTTTCAAAAGGTATCCACTTTGGTTATGGGTGTTCGTCCTTATAAGTTACTCCAAGAGTCCATTTCTCATTGATGTGGGATTCTTAGTCAGAGAGGGTTATTACATTATTGAAACAACCCTAACTGAAGCTCATCATTAATTGAACAACTCTTCAAACCAAGATCCACAGACCCTTGAAAGCTTAAGCTCAAATTATTATTTGTGATGGGTATCCACACTTATATAATACTTAATCGTACTTTTCTTCTAATGTGGGATTAAGGTGTTGCAATTTCACCCACTTAAACACTTAACATCCTTGTTAAGCCCATTCAAATTGGCCTATAATCACAAGATCCACCTTAAGCGTTGTGAGATTCTAAAGGCCAAAGCCCAACTATGCCAACATTATCCAATCCAAGTTCTTGCCAGACCAAAAGGGATTTCTTTAATGACTAGTATTAAGGTCTTTTAGCATGGTCTCACATCTATAAGGGATTACTTTAAAAGGGAACTTCTTTGATACCAATTGAAATGACATGGGTCAAAACTCACTATTAGCCTAATAACTCTTTAGGCCAAGGGTCCACGGACACATAAAAGCTTAAACTTAAGTTGTTAGTAATGTTGGGTCTCTACAATTATATACCATTCACAATTATACTCTTCTTTCGATGTGGAATTGGAGTTTAGACATCCATAGTTTGTTAAGATGAGTACTTGGATCGTTTCAATTGTTATCATAGCCTGTGGGTTTCCTGGTGTTTTATTACCAATTTGATTATAAGGGTCTGTTTAGTCTAAGAGAAATGGAAGAAAAGAGAGACCATTTCAACCAAATTATAAGACCTTTTATTTCTACTGAAATGAAATTATAACTAAAATATTTAGGTTGTTAACTTGATTCTCATAATATTAAGAAGTTTGAAAAAAGATACTTTAAGTACCATATTAGCATTTTTAACTTTGTTACAACACATTAGCATCTTACCAACAATAATTAATAATGTTATTATCACAACAATAGTTATAGCCACACAAATAAATACTAAGGTTATATAAAATAGTTTGTTTGTTTAATTTTATCAATTTATTGTTAGTGTGTTTGAATATCAATTTATTGATTTATTTCAAACTATTGAGTAATAAATATTAGTTATTCTATCATTTATCAACAAACATCTATAGCTATTAGCTATTTCCAACAAGCAGACCAAACATAATCACAGTATTTTTTTATGGCCATAACCATGGTTCGTTATCACTTTAACATTGCTATGAATTAATGTTGACAAATAGACTATAGTTAGTCTATTTTTAAAATTTTAAGGATTATCATGATTATAATTAACAAACAATTTCCTTGTCTTTGCTACCCTTGTGCATGGTTGGACAAGTCTAGTTGTATGACAAGTATGACCTTTAAATCTCTTTTTCTTTTGTGAAGCCTTGTCTTTTTTCTTTCTCTACCACCACTTCTTTCCCTTTTGTGCCACTCAATCTACTCTAGTTTTTTCCTCTATTTTTTCATTTGTGGTACTCATGGTGCAAAGTACAACAAACTAGAGCTTGTAATAGATAAAAGCAAGCATAATGGCATTTATAGACATTGGGATGTTAGAGTTCAGAACTAAAGGCTGCTATTGAAGGCTTATGGATTGCCTTTGGAAGGCTATTAGTTGTCACTGGAAGACTGTGGACTACTTGAGGATTTTGGACTATTGGTGGCATAGGGATTGGTGCTTATAGTTGGATAGTGGTACAAAGGCTAGCAATCTTAGGCCTGGGTTGCTAAAGTGCTCTCCCAAGGTAACAACAAGGCTTAGGATGACGGAGTAGTTAGAGGTTGGCATTGGTTCATTGGATTTGAAGGTGAAGGTGTTGGCTCCAATAGTAAAAGAGACTAGGTTTATTCTAGGTCTAACTCAATTAAATGTTTGTGATTTGGAAGATAGGGGTACCATTTCTCTATTAAGATAATTACTGCATGGATATGGTTAGACTATCAATGGGTGGAGATTGTTGTTAGCCTAATTACTTGCTCTCCCTAGCTCGCATAGTAGTTAAGAATGTAATTCCAAGTAGTTCAAAATGCTCATAGTGATTTTCTTTCTACATTAGTAGCTCTATGTGACCTCTATAATAACTGCTAATGTGATATCTAGATGTTGATAACTCTTTATACTTAAATTGTTTACATTCGTCATGAGCATAGTTTTTGTCTATATCTAGTGTTACAATATATGCTTCTGCTTGGCTATGGAAGTCATGATATAGGAATTCATATAATTTTAATTTTGCTATTTTAATATAAAAAAGATTGCAGTTAAGGGATGATTTTTTTTTTTTTGGGGAAAAATTTAAGGAAATTTTGACTTTAAATAAAAAAAAAACTGCAATGATTAATTAATGGTTCCTTGAAAACGTGGCATGGTTATGGTCATACAAATAATTATTATACTTACACACAATTTTTAATAGTAAAATTTGTTTTATTTAGTTGGTTGTTAGGAATAGGTAATAACTATAGTTTGTAATTGATAAATGATAAAATAATTAATATTTTATGAGTAAACATCTATTTATACACAAGTTTAATACATTACATCTACATAAAATTTCAACCATTCACATCTCAATTTTTAATAGTTAAAATTTATTCATATTTATTGAAGATAATTATTTTTTTCTATAAAAAGTTATAATAAAATTAAATCATTATAAGTGAAAAAATAAATAATTAAAATTTTATATAAATATGATATATATAATTTATATGTAATTTATATGTAAGTGGATCACTGCTCATATTTTATTAGTTAACATATTAAAATCAATATACAATATGATATTTTCAAACACTATAATTAACTATTTAAAGAAAAAAAATAAATTAGTGTGACCTAACATTTTTATGTGTAACAATAGCGAGCCTGAATGGAAAGAATATGGGAAAAGGATGGGCATGCTCATGGTCACGTATCATTATGTTAAGGCTATACAATTTGTTAATATTGTCTAAAATATATACTCTATTTGATTTAATTATTAAAAATAATCAATATTTGCAT